TACCGCGCGTTTTGTTAAATAACATCAAAATGATTCTAAAATAATTTCATTACTTATTTTATAACCATTTCATTACTTTAACAAAAGCATAATACAAGTCTCGCGCAGTAAAATTAATACGTGACATTTCGATAACTGTCACGTGCTCCATGACTTGACCGTGCGTTGAAAATTTCGCGCGACAAGGACTTACCGCTTGTATGCATTGAAATATATGAGTGACACAGGCGCGTATTTTAGTGGGAACGAAGGAGGCGATCACCTCCCCCTGAATCCGTATTTAAGGGATCGATTATATGTGAGATAAACATTTCAAATTTTTATAATGTGGATCATCTTATTATAATACTTAGTGTCCATACCAGGGCACCAAAACGTTTTTATAACGTCATAAGTAGGTATAACGTTAAACTATTCAAAAAGCGATTGAAATCGATAGCAAATAATGAAACAGAAACGAAAAACGATTAAAATTAATATCGAATAACACAGCAGAAAACGATTAACGATTGAAACATAAAAGAAATTGCCATCAAAAAATATTTATAATCATCAGTAAAATAGATTTGGAACATAGTTAATTTTGTAAAATTGACTTAAATTACTAGATAATCTAAATAAAATATATATAAAAAGGATGTTTAAAACAGCAAATAATTGATCAACTAATAATATATAAAAAAGCATTACCAATTATAATTTATAAATATGCTTTCTGAAAATATGTCGGATGTAGGCGCGGAACCCGTATGGCCTCAAAAATAATTTCGGTGAACACCGTTGAAACATTAGTAATACACCATACATATGTTATAAATTGACATAGTGGTGTAACTGGGAAAAAATCTAGGGGGGGGCAATATAATATATTTATTATTACCAAAACCCTGACACCCCTCTCCCTCACCATTTAAAACATATTTTTATTGTATGTATTTTATACAGTATATTTAATTGTTTGATTTTACATGAGTCTTTTAACTCATTTTGTGGTTTAGATTAACATAAATTGTAGGTAGCAATATTGTTAAATAATACCCATAACAGTTCATTAATAAAAGGAGCTGTTTGTACTGTTGGATTATCTGGGGGGGGGGGCAAAATTATACCTTTATCACTCAAAAAATTGGTCGGGGGGGGCACTTGCCCCCACAATTACGCCACTGAATTGACAATACATATTTTACGTGGTATGTGAATTTTATTGTTGTTATATAAATATAATATAATATAAAATATAAATATTTTGATAGCAATACCAACATCCCATATGTTACAATATAAAATAAAAATAATAATTAACATAGGTAATTGTAGGCGATCAGGCAGTCTCATGAATCGAATGATATAATCATATATTTGATTTTTGTTTTTATCTATTTTTTCTCTTTAGTGCGGGCCACGACTTAGAAGATTAGTCTAAGGTCGTGGTGAGGGCATTTATTTTTTTCCGAAATGACGATATCGTCAATTGCCAATATTAATAACAAACCGTACAATGTATAAAGTATAATACACCCCTCGTTCCGGTGAAAAAATATAGTTGGGGTACCCAAAAAAAAATAGTAGAGGAGCTCTGTCCCACTGCGCATCTCCCCCCCAATTCGAACACTGATTGTTATGTAACTTGGTTTTCTGTAAACACATCGATCAATTTTAACATGGATTTGTCAAATGAAAATTGTCGAATACCTACTCGACGAAGATAGTTTAGGTATTGATAACTGTTAATAATGTCAATAGAAGAAATGCCATTATTATTGGACAATACTATTACAAGATTCTTACTCAGACCGAAACGAAAAAAGAAAATGCTGGAGAAACATATTTTGTAAAATAAAACCAGCGTTTGTGAAGCTGAATAATATTCTCGTCCGCCATCATTGACATGTAGAATATTGGTTCAAATCGCTAACATGAAAAATATCACACGGTAAAATAACGCTCATGTGTTGCCTCAATATAATTTTTATGAAATCTTATATATTCAATATTTTTTAAACCATTTATTATTGCATATGACTTTTTCATATTCAATAATTATAATAACTAAATACAACTATGCGCCATTGACCAATTTTATTTGAAAAATTTGTATGAAACACTGCAATATGTCCTATAACTATTGGTAATATTTCTAAAATGTGATTTTAAAATAAAAAAATAAATACAACAAAATTGTATTCATTTTTACGCAAGATAATATCAAATGACAATAATAAAATCATTTTACATTATCTATTAGTTATTGTTTAATAGGTACATATTTGCTGGAATTTTAAGAAATTTCAAAATCAGTTCAAATTAATAACAAATTAATCATACTATATTGCATCATTAATTTTAACATTTTGAGAGTTGATGAAAATCTAATCATTTAGATGTTAGTGAAACCATAAAAACTAATATTATTATTTAAACATCTATTCAAAGTATTATATATTTATAATTTAATTTTAAAATAGTTATGTTTAAGAGATTTTCTCCCAGGTTCCAGCATAATTATTTTTGTTGAATCCAACTATTTAACTTTTCATATTGTGAACTATGATTTAATCCAAAGTTATGAGTCTTAAAGAAAAAAAGTTTATTAGAATTGGGTGTAAATGTGCATTTTAAATATTGAGTGCAGGTCAGGGGCATTTTAGGAGTTAAATCCAGGGGTGTAATTTTATCCACTATTTTTGATTTTTACCTGCACTCTGTCCAACAAATGTATAAAATGGATAAAACCTTGTAATATTTTAATATTATAACACAATATAAAACTCTGCGAAATTGCAACCGGTTTTGTTAGGTTTAACCTGGTTCAAACAAAATACATTTAATGTTAACATTAAATTGTTTCATTTTATATATGTGAATTATCATTATTTTACCAAATGTCATTAGTGACCAATTGTCAATTGATGTTTTACAAGCAGAACTACACTTAACAGTAATGTGCCAACTGAAAAACAGATATGAATAAGTTTGATTAATTTATAATATTATTCACTATTTTCTATCTAATTAAGTCATAATTATTGCAGTACATTTTTATATTAAAATATAATATGTCAGTCTAATACTATTTTTTATATTATGATTGTTAGTAAATCAAACTAGACATTCAAAATATAATATTATGTCCAGAATATATTTTATCCAATTTTGCCTATTAATTTTATCCCCTAGGACAAAACCTTATTAACCCTAGTTCAACACCCTATATAAATTCCAAAAAAATAATTCAGTATGTTTTTATAGAGTAATAGTGGTATATAGATTTTATAGGTATGAAAATGTACTACCTAAAACCATCCTAAAATATTTTTTTGTGTATACTTCTGGTACAGGTATAGATTTCATATTTTTTTTTACAAAATTTCACAACTTAATATTATTATAAATGAAAAATCAAATATTTGAAACATTATTTTTTTTTATTTTTTTCATTAGTTATAACTAATCCTTAATAATGAACATAATGTTAACATTATTTAATGGATAAAATATTAAGTAACAAGTATTACACATAATGAACCATGATTTTTAAAAGAGGGTTTTTTGTACTTTAATATTTGGTTGTGATAGCTGTTAAATATAATAGAGATACCACAAATTTCTTTTTGAAATAAATAATTTAAATAGCACATTTTACCATATCCATTTTTTACATAATTTGAAAAAGAGAATGTTTTAGACCATTTAAAGCAATTTTTATACATTTTATTATTTGTAATTAATAATAAACATTATTTTAAGTAATTTTAATTAATTAGCCATGATATAATTTTTGAGTCATTGTCATCATGATTTTATAGATAATTTAAATATTTATAACCTGAAAACATATTTTGGTAATTTTAAGTACTAGTCACATATCCTTTTTAATAATAGTTTAAGAAGCACATTATAATGTTATTATATTATTACATTATGTCTTAAAAATATAATATACTTAAAGGTAAATTTTCCATTAAATTCAAAACTAATTTCTTTTTCTCTAACTTTAAAAAATTCATATCAATATAATATTTACCATACATTTAATTATTTTAATTAATAAATTATATTTTGATAATAGTTTTAAGTACAATATATTCCATAAAAATGTATGATTTAAAATTTATAATATAAATATAAATTGAAACACTCAACTATAAAATCATCAAATTATTTTTAAGTAAAAAGTAAAGTAATTGAACTTAAAATAATCATTTTAAGGTAATAACATTTTACTTCACTATCACTTCTAATTTTATAAGGAAAAATAAATATATCAACACTTTCTTCATAATCATTTTTGCATTTTTTTCTTTTTTACTTTTTAAAATATTTATTTGATAAATTATGATATAAATTTAAAACACTGGTTGAATTAATTTAATTTAAATTATAACAGTTTAAATACTATTAGATTTGTATACATTAAAATGTGTACTTCAATATTTAAAATATAATTAAACAATTATAAGTTTTCTAGTATAAGCAGGTTAGAAATAACTGTTCATAAAGTTGTTCATACTTTTATTCAATATTTTTAAAAATAGTTACATATAAATTAAAGAAGCAGTTTTATATTCATAATGATATTGCTATTTAAAAGTAGAAACAGTATTAAATTAGTAATGACAACAATAAAATATGTAGTATATTTTTAGATAGTTAACATATTGATACATTTTATGTAAAATGATCCATAACTATATACAAATAGACATTTATAGATTATGGTCAATTTATCAAAAATGTAAAAATTATTGTTAATTTCATCACAATAATAATAATAATCAATTATTGTGCATGTATAGTGGTAAAAACAAAATAGTCATGTAAAGAGAATAATAACTATTTTTAAAATAAATGAATTACTACTTAAGACCAAACTAATTAAAATTTTTACAACAAACAGGAAAACAAAAACAGAAATTACAATAATACAAATAATGAAATAAAGAAAAATCCTGATTATAAAATTGGAATTTATAATTTACTCCTAGGATATTTTAACTATATGATATTACTAAATACAATCAAATTTACTTATTGTTTGCTTTAATAGCTTTGTCGTTGTAATTTAAATAAACAATACCACAACCAGTCAACAAACATCCTGAAATCAAACCGGCCACTGTAGCTAAACTAGAGTTGTTCGGCAATAAACTGCGTACAATAGCCCATGTCAAAACTGATCCTGTGTTGAACAAGACTGATCCGTACACACTAAAATGTTTAAGGAATTTTCAATTAGTGTCAATACATTGAATAATCGGCTTATTACCTAAAGATGATGCGTAGTTTTATTGGTGCTTCACTGAGATGAGGTCGTCCAGCAATGAAGAGAGCAGATCCCAAACATGAGCTGAATAAAAATGTATTTGTGAGATCTGGCTTAGGTACGATCCTTTGATTCAAAAATACAAAATATTAATCAACTGTAGTCTACAAGAACAGTTAGTGTTATCATGTAGCGACTGGGTTGGGCACTTACCTTTGCAAGAGTCTTGGGTTCATCACATTGAGAGACAAAAATGTATAGTTTAATGTACCAAAAGCCGGAGCATAGAAATTTATTGCTGATTCTTTGGTGACCGGCGGTGGTCTGTAGCCAACGATCGTATCGACCAACGATTTCTTATCTGAAGATGTCATTGTAACGAGTCGGGAGAGATCAGATTGGCAGTAATTCGTACGAGTAAAACCAATTCGGCTTACGAGAAAAAAATTATAAAACAGTTTCAGACACAAAAAATACAGTAAGAAAATTGATAGGCGAGCGAACCACAGGAATAAAATTAAATGCGAATGTGACGTTCTGACGTTGAAGATCCGTGATAACGAGATATTTTGGTGAAAAAAAAAAATTGAAAATAATGTTCGTGGATATCCCAAAAACGATTGCTGCCTATTGATTTCGCCCGTCGGGTTAATTTACATCAATCGGTCATGCATATTGTTACGCAAAAGTTATTATAATAAACATAATCTCAGAATAAACTACACGACGAACATCCACCCGACAAATGTCCACTAAACACAAACGTTACGTGTATACGACAGAACACCGACAGCATCGTACGCCACACTACCAACATAACGTCTGCACGAACGCGATAATCGTTCGGTACTGATATTATTATATTCTGTGCTGATATCGACAGTCGTAACAACGTGTATCCTTGGCGCCATTAAGAAATTTTAAAACGCACTGCCCTAGTTCAAAACCACTGTTCGCTGTACACAATCCAAAGCGTTTTACTACAATAATACATTTTCAATTGTTTTATTATAATTGGATATGTTATGATATTAGTTTACAAAATAATAATTATATAATATTCCTATAAACTCTTCCATAGACCCATAAAAACATAATATTCAAATAAAGAACAATAGATTGAGATTGCTACGGGCTACATGCTTGGCATAGCCAAAACCCACTAATACACATAGTATTAGAAGAAAACGTAGTAAGGAATGATGTGAAAGCGTTAGGAGAAGGCTTGGACTGGAGGATTCAGGTATCGGATAGAGAAAATTGGGTGCAAGAGTGTATGTTGGGATAGTCCTAATGAGAGTTTTACCCATGAAGAAGAAGAATTATATATTAATTTTGCTTCAACAAAGTTTAAAGTTAATAATAAATAAAGTAAAATAAACAAGTTGCAAATTCTTTCAATAAGCATATGCTTGAAACGGATGAACTACATTGATCCATAAAAAAAAACATAACTTATTCAATTTACAACTAAAAATTAGCATTAAAAATTTTTTCAAATAAAATATGGAAACTTGAGAGTAAAATATTATTTTCCTTACTGTAAATATGGGTGCAAGTATATTCTAAATTAATATAAGGAACTTTAAAAAATATGACATCAAAAAATTGTTTGATTCAGGACTAGATTGTTATAGGTAATCATTTCTAAAAAAAACAATATCAATGCTTATGGAAAATAAAATGAGTAACATATTAAATTTAATTTGATCCATTGAACAACAAAAAAATAATTACAATATAAATTTGTAATAATACATGTATTTTTATAATTTATTTTTTATTAAAATCAAAGGAACAATATCCAAAGGAAAAAATGTACTCAATTATAAAATAAATTTCATACAACTAAAATATATATTTATATATAACAACATATTAAATCACTATAAATAATATGGTTCAATATGAAGATTATAAATTGATTTACAAGTCATCAAATAGCAGACAAAATTTGTCTATTAAATATTTTAATTTTATTTTAATAATAAGTACACATTATGTGTCAAAAAAATGAACCACTAAAAGTGGCCTTTGAAGAGGCAGACCAAGAAAAAAAATGACCGGAAGGAGTACAGGAAAACTTGTTAAGGATAGATAATGAGAACTGGACAGACATAGTACATGTCAAGGACAGAGAGAGCGATGTTGTGGTGATGGCCAAAACTCTCAATGAGTTGATACGCCAAGGAAAGAAGACCAAGTATCTACAAACTAAGTTTAGTGTAATGAACACAGATATTTGCACAGAAATTGCAATTAACTGCCAGTGAAATTGTAATTTTATTTATTTATTTTGTTTATATTAGTTATTGATCTTGAATATATATTTCTAAAAATATTAATATTTTATAAGCTCATATATTTTTTCCTTAAAAAAAAATATACCAAAATAACTTAATAAATACCTTATAAGAAAAAAAAGCAATTTTATTTTACATTACTTATATTTTATTACAAACATGTGCTATGTGAATAATATTCATTATTTATCCAACTATGACTTTTCACCATGTTTTCAATCAAATTAATTCACTATACCAAACATACCTAAGATATTTCTATCAATTATAATAATTTATACTTTAATCGCAATATAGTATCAAATCTTGTTTTATTACTCTTACTCATAATTATTAATATTTTTTTAATCATACTTCATTCATTATAACGTAAATGTCAAGCCATCTAATTGACAAAGGTATAATAAAATAAAAAAATAAATATTAATTATATTTAGAGTACCTACAATGAAGAGCAATAAAGTGTATTCAATAATGAAATCAAATCAAATAAATATTAGCTATCATTTATAAATTTCAAATTTTATATTCTAAATAATTTGTTACCTGCAATAGCTGTTAACTGCTTAAACCTCAAATCGTTTAATAATAATCATATGTCACTTAAACTAGAAAGTCTGGACTGGAAACTGTTATACTGGTACATACAATTTACTTTCAAAAAATTATTGAGCCAAGGTTGAAAATGTACTTAAAAAGGTACAATTATTGTTTATTTTTAACCATGTTATGTAATATAAAATTCAGTTCATGCAAATTATTTATAATTAATGAATATTAAAAGAAAAAATTTCAAATATAAAATGTATTACATATTTTTATCTAATTCCTCTTTTGCCTTATTGATTTCTTTGATATGCTTCTCTATTTCTTGTTTACGAAATTCTATGTCTTTTTTAATTTCGTCCAACTGGGCTCTTTGCTATTTAAAAACATGATTCTTTAATTGATTCAATTTGTTTTATTTAATTAATATTAACCTGTTTATAAAAATATTCTTCTTCGTTAGCAGCTTCTCGCTGACCCATAGAACCGCCAGCTTCTCGAATTGATCCACCACCACCTCCACCTTTGCCAGCACCACTGCCTAAATTACCAAGACCACTGTTTAATCTGTTAAAACTCAACATATATTAACACTTAATATCACTTAAAAATATAAATTTGGTTTAAAATTTAAATTTAAAAATTAATGTTGCATTCTTGCCTCATTATTAATATATTTATGGACTTGAGTGAATTAGAAGATCCTCTTAAGAAAGTATTCATGGCAATTATTTTTAAAAAAAACACGTTAGATATAAATTACTAATTATTATAAATGTATTTTATATTTATAATATTCTAATGAAATACTTTACAATGATGACGAAAAATATACCACAAGTTATGACTAATTTAGTCACGGAAAATACAACAAATATGGCGTCCAATACGCAATTGTTCAGGACATAAATGCATTATGTTGTTAATGTTCAGGTTCAATAGAGAAAGGAAAATATATTTCCTTTAATCGAACAGTGCAGTCTTTGAAATGTTAACATTGATACAATTTCTATTTTTGATGTTCAAGGGAGAGAGATATGTACATTTCCTTTGTCTGAATAGTGCCGTCTTTGAAATTTTGACATTTTTGATATCATAAAATATTTTATTCATTTTGGAACAATCAGTAATTTCAAAATATATCTGCTCGCAATATATTACAATGTCTATAAAATAATGTCTGTAAATTAAAAATTTATTTTTGTGTTATTACACATGATTGATTAATAAGAGTAGTCAAAAATAATCATCATAAATACTATTATTATTTTTTATTTTTCATAATTTAAATTAATCAGCACAACCTTGGCCCATAGGTAAATATTGGCAGTTATTTTTAAATAATTATAAATTGAAATGAAAAAATTAATTAATTGTTTCATTTATCTGTGAAAAGTAATAACAAAAATGATTTCTCTATGTTTTCAACCAAATATATAAAAATTTATAAAATTTAAATAGTTCATAGTTTATAAAATCACTTTGTCTAGTTTACTTCATATAGAATTAAATAATAGTTTAAAGTTATTATTGTATTTAGGATCTAGTTAATGTATTTTATAGTTTTATAGATACATATTATCTGTTATCATAAACAAATATGACATAAATAATAACAGCAAATAATTGTTGTTACTTAATGTAATAACTATATTTCTTGTTATTAATATTCATAGATATATACAGAAGTCATACAATTTTGCCATTACATTTAAATATTAAAAATATTATTCCTATGATAAGTACCTTAAGTAACAACAATTATTTGCTGTTATTATTTATGTCATATTTGTTTATGATGATAGAATAATATGTATCTATAACAAGAAATATAGTTAAATAAGTTTTGTTCAAGAACAAAAAGAACCACAATGAACAGATACAGCAACATGCACCGTTTGGCTTTTAATCGGCAATCGCCTTAGATAAATTATCTAAAGAAACTATTTAAAATGAAGTGATAGGTAGTGGTCACTGTCCTAGTATACTGTATGCAAAAATTGTGCTTCAATTGATCTGTTGATATGTCTCACAATCCTTTAAATACAATCTAGTGCCCTTACACATTGTGCTTCACAAGTATCTTGAACGGCTAGAGTTTTAATAACATAAAAATGTCCAGAATAATCATGACAATGTTTAAGTATGGTGTGCCTTACTAATAATGATATTAAAATTATAACTTTTTTTTTTATTCAGAATAACCTTTGGCAGCATCAGCCATTGATATATATATATTGATTTGTTCAAATGTTATTTAATAATTTTGAGGATATAATGAATTTTATTATTGATTTTGTGGATTCTTAATAGTAATTAAGTGATATTGAAATATGTTCAGGGATATTGCTTTTTTTCCAGATGATTTTGTAGTTTAAGCATTTGGTTAATATGTAGTTAATATTCAGTAGGATTCCGCATGTTTGGTACATTGGAGTTTAGTTCCTCTTTGTTCATGATGTAGATATGGGTGGATTACTGTAGGTCCAATTTGTAGTCTATTAATTACTACCTTTATTTTTCTAGATATAATTAAAACTTGTTTACATCCATGTTCTTTTTGAATGAAAACAAGAATTTCGTTTTCATATCTGTACATTTCTCTGTATTGTTTACATGGATTATTCTGTTTGTTACTGGACAGCTTCTTTGCAACTTGTTTGCAAAATAGGTCTGCATCTTGGGCTATTAGAAAACAGTTGTTTGGTACTGTGAAAACTGCTAACCAAACTTTATTTTCTGTATTTAAGTTAGCTTCTAAAGGATACCGTGATAGATGATCTGTTATTTTATTATCAACTCAAAATACTGGTTTTATATCAAATGCAGCAAGATTTATAGCGTATCGTGCATACATCCTGTTGAGTTTAGTTTAGCTTATAATTTAAGCGGTGGAATAATTATCAGTTTTTTATTGTTAACTGTTAATACATTTAAATTGTTTGCCAATTAAGTAAAGTCGAAATTATTCAGTAATTCCCCAATGATAATCACTACTGTGATATCTTTTATTGTCATCTTTTAAAGATCGACTAGCATATTCAATAATTCACTACTTATCATCTTGTATTTGTGTTAAACATACACTTAATCCTTCATTTGATGCGCATGTTTCGACTGATGTAGGTACATCGGGTACAAAATGTGCTAAAATCAGAACAATGACCAGTTTAATGAAGCTTGGAAGTTCTTTTTCGTTTAAAGATATAGTATTATTAGTTTTATGGTCAGATTTTAAATGTTTCTTTTTCAATTTGTCCTTAAGGGGTTTGGAAATTTGTGTAAATGTTTTATGTATCTTCATACTATGTTTGCAAATCCTAAAAAAGCTGTAAAGTTCATGAAGAGACCTGAGTGTTAGGTATCAACTGACAGCTAGAGTTTGATCTGGGTTGAGTCTAACTAAACCTCTTAAATATAGGATTTGACCAAGAATTTTCAATTCTAATATGGCAAACTCACATTTATTTTCTAGTTAACTTGATATTATATTTCCGTGTTGCTTAGAATGAAAATGAATGAATTTAACTTGTTCTCTGAGAAGACTCCGGTCTGATTATCGGAAACTATGGGAAAATTCCGATTTCGCGAGTTTCCTCCGGAAAATCTACTCCGAATATATGCCTATCAGCTTTCAAAACTCACTCCATAAGTTTTGACCGGGATACTTCACATTTTGTTCGGGTAAATTTGATTTGCTTCTGATATATCACTGATGGAGGGTTGGGGTGTGTTTTCAAGACTTGTGTAACTTTCCACTCATTCGATCAACCTACACTTTTCTTCCGCTAATTCTCGGTCCAAGCATTCGACACTCTCACTGAGAGTAGCTATTATAAGTTCATAGGCGTAACTAGAGCTCTATTTTTGGGTGGGCTACATTTTAATGCTATCACTGACTCGTGGGGGCTTCACCCCCATACCACCATTATTGATTATCAACACTAATACATTTATATTTATATTGCTGAGAAGTCCTTACCTGTAATGGTTAATAATTACTTTCAAAGAAGAATTTTTTCACTTACAGACAAGCTACCTAAATAAATTTGAATAAAAAAGGATAAAAATTTGTAATTGATAAAATATACAGTTCTGGCTATTAAATATTTATTACAAAATTAAATTAACATTATTTTTCTATCCTTTTCTGCAAATTTGTTTAAAATATCGTCCACATTTACTTTGTTAGTTATATCTCTTTTTATATTCAAAATAGATAAAAATGTAAAGCGATCTTGTGCTATGGAGGATCTTAGCCAATTTTTTATTCGTCTCATTGAAGAAATGATCTTTCACAAGTGGCTGAACTTATAGGAATAGATAAAGCCGCTTGTAACAATTTAAAAAGGTTCGGATATGTTTGTTTTTCAACAACTTCTTTTACATCATTTAAATTGAAATCGTTTACACTTTACTGCGATATAATACAAATTAAAAACACCTTATAATTTATAAACTAAAATTAATTATAATCAAAACTCTCAACGATAACAAGCATTGAGAAACGCTGCCTGCTAAACAAATATCACGGACCACGGTTTTCACTTTTCTTATCTTATTCTAAGACCGTCAATACGCATGTTTATTGTTTATGTACAATATTAACGACACGGGCTAGTTATATACTCTTCGTCCGTGATTAGCGATAAAATGTTCATAAAATGAACCTGGATTATTGATAATTAACCGTAAATAATAAAATGTTTGTTAATAACATAATGATAATATTCATATTATTGATAAATTTAAACTCCTAAAGACAATAAACCGTTACACAATACACATAACTAATGGGATTCGGGAATTACACATTACGTTCAAAAACTGGGTGGCTAAGCCCCCCCCCCCTATTTGCGCCTATGTATAAGTTGTTGTTTGTCTACCGTAACTTTTTAATCCCTCCAATCTATCCAATATATGTTTCAATAACTGATTCATCAGATCTTTCTCAGAGCTGATCTCATCTTTGTTCAGAATCTCTGACGTTTTTTCTTCCGGTACCTGATCTGACCTCATCTCTAGTGATGAACACTACCGAGTGAAAACTATCGAACTTTTCGGTAGTTTAAACTATCTATTCACTCGGTTGTTTAACCGATAACTAGATTGTTTTCGAACCATCTAAACAATCGCCTATGAAAACAATTAACTATCGAACCAATCGATAATCGACTATCAAAATATTGACTATTGACCATTAAAACAAATAACAATTGACTCAAAACCATTGAACATCATGATAAATGGAACGCTTACCAATGCAAAAATAACCGAGAGAGCGTCTTTTTTTATTACACATAATTGTATGAATTGATTACCAATACATTTTAAATTTGTTGTTCATTAAACGTCTTGTTATGCGTTTTCAGTTTTAAAAAAAATTAAAATAAAGTTCACTGTGCAATTAAGACTTAAGATGGTGAATTTTTGTAGTTATTTGTAACATATGTTTACAAAGTTATTTTATGTGTTATAATATATAACCAGTTTATATTTAATTACATTTTTATACCTAATTTTTAAATTTTTGTTGTATATAATATTAAGACTTCAATACTCATGTCATTGGAAATTGTGCATGTTAAATTCTTTTATTTAAACTTGATATATTTTATAAATGATATATATTTTCACTGTATGATTTTATTTTAATATGCTTTTAAGGTTGTATGAATACCTTAAAATGTAATAAATCAACTATTATATTTTATAATGGTTTCTTATATAAATTAATATTTTGATAGTTTATTTTAAATCAAATAACTTTTTTTATTAATGTATAGTTTTATTGTTATTAAAGGAAAAATATCTGACTGAAGTCAACTCAAGTTACATAAGTTAACATAAAAGAACATATAACTCCAAGGTTATGAATATAGTTAGTTAGAGTATCTACAATGTTGCATAGTATCTTTAAAAAATTATTTATATTACGCAATTTTGGTTATGAAGTATAACAGAAATGTATTGAAGATTTTATTTACAATATATATTTTTCCTAAATTATAAATCTACAATATTAAATTAAGTTAGGAAAGTAGTAGGTGCAATCTAAGGTAAGTAGCGTT